CTCACCTGTCCTCCTGTCCCCTCCTCAGGTGTGTTGTTCACCTGTCCTCCTGTCCCCTCCTCACCAGTCCTCCTGTCCCCTCCTCACCTGTCCTCCTGTCCCCTCCTCAGGTGTGTTTTTCACCTGTCCTCCTGTCCCCTCCTCAGTGTGTTGTTCACCTGTCCTCCTGTCCCCTCCTCACCTGTCCTCCTGTCTCCTCCTCACCTGTCCTCCTGTCTCCTCCTCACCTGTCCTCCTGTCTCCTCACCTGTCCTCCTGTCTCCACACCTGTCCTCCTGTCCCCTCCTCACCTGTCCTCCTGTCCCCTCCTCAGGTGTGTTGTTCACCTGTCCTCCTGTCCCCTCTTCACCTATCCTCCTGTCCCCTCCTCCTGTCTCCTCCTCACCTGTCCTCCTGTCTCCTCACCTGTCCTCCTGTCCCCTCCTCACCTGTCCTCCTGTCCCCTCCTCAGGTGTGTTGTTCACCTGTCCTCCTGTCTCCTCACCTGTCCTCCTGTCCCCTCCTCACCTGTCCTCCTGTCCCCTCCTCAGTGTGTTGTTCACCTGTCCTCCTGTCCCCTCCTCACCTGTCCTCCTGTCCCCTCCTCAGGTGTGTTGTTCACCTGTCCTCCTGTCCCCTCCTCACCTGTCCTCCTGTCTCCTCCTCAGGTGTGGTGTTCACCTGTCCTCCTGTCCCCTCCTCACCTGTCCTCCTGTCTCCTCCTCACCTGTTCTCCTGTCAACTCCTCACCTGTCCTCCATTCCCCTCCTCACCTGTCCTCCTGTCTCCTCCTCAGGTGTGTTGTTCACCTGTCCTCCTGTCCCCTCCTCACCTGTCCTCCTGTCCCCTCAGGTGTGTTGTTCACCTGTCCTCCTGTCCCCTCCTCAGGTGTGTTGTTCACCTGTCCTCCTGTCTCCTCCTCACCTATCCTCCTGTCCCCTCCTCCTGTCTCCTCCTCACCTATCCTCCTGTCCCCTCCTCCTGTCTCCTCCTCACCTGTCCTCCTGTCCCCTCCTCACCTGTCCTCCTGTCCCCTCCTCACCTGTCCTCCTGTCCCCTCCTCAGGTGTGTTGTTCACCTGTCCTCCTGTCCCCTCCTCAGGTGTTTGTTCACCTGTCCTCCTGTCTCCTCCTCACCCTGTCCTCCTGTCTCCTCCTCACCTGTCCTCCTGTCCCCTCCTCACCTGTCCTCCTGTCCCCTCCTCAGTGTGTTTTCACCTGTCCTCCTGCCCCTCCTCAGGTGTGTTGTTCACCTGTCCTCCTGTCTCCTCACCGTCCTCCTGTCCCCTCCTCACCTGTCCTCCTGTCCCCTCCTCACCTTCCTCCTGTCCCCTCCTAGGTGTGTTGTTCACCTGTCCTCCTGTCCCCTCCTCACCTGTCCTCCTGTTCCCTCCTCAGGTGTGTTGTTCACCTGTCCTCCTGTCCCCTCCTCACCTGTCCTCCTGTCCCCTCCTCAGGTGTGTTGTTCACCTGTCCTCCTGTCCCCTCCTCACCTGTCCTCCTGTCCCCTCCTCAGGTGTGTTGTTCACCTGTCCTCCTGTCCCCTCCTCACCTGTCCTCCTGTCTCCTCCTCAGGTGTGGTGTTCACCTGTCCTCCTGTCCCCTCCTCACCTGTCCTCCTGTCCCCTCCTCACCTGTCCTCCTGTCCCCTCCTCACCTGTCCTCCTGTCCCCTCCTCAGGTGTGTTGTTCACCTGTCCTCCTGTCTCCTCCTCACCTATCCTCCTGTCCCCTCCTCCTGTCTCCTCCTCACCTGTCCTCCTGTCCCCTCCTCACCTGTCCTCCTGTCCCCTCCTCAGGTGTGTTGTTCACCTGTCCTCCTGTCTCCTCCTCACCTGTCCTCCTGTCCCTCCTCACCTGTCCTCCTGTCCCCTCCTCAGGTGTGTTTTCACCTGTCCTCCTGTCCCCTCCTCAGGTGTGTTGTTCACCTGTCCTCCTGTCTCCTCACCTGTCCTCCTGTCTCCTCCTCACCTGTCCTCCTGTCTCCTCACCTGTCCTCCTGTCTCCACACCTGTCCTCCTGTCCCCTCCTCACCTGTCCTCCTGTCCCCTCCTCAGGTGTGTTGTTCACCTGTCCTCCTGTCCCCTCCTCAGGTGTGTTGTTCACCTGTCCTCCGTCCCTCCTCCTGTCCCCTCCTCACCTGTCCTCCTGTCCCCTCCTCAGGTGTGTTGTTCACTGTCCTCCTGTCCCCTCCTCACCTGTCCTCCTGTCCCCTCCTCAGGTGTGTTGTTCACCTGTCCTCCTGTCCCCTCCTCACCTGTCCTCCTGTCCCCTCCTCAGGTGTGTTGTTCACCTGTCCTCCTGTCCCCTCCTCACCTGTCTTCCTGTCCCCTCCTCAGGTGTGGTGTTCACCTGTCCTCCTGTCCCCTCCTCACCTGTCCTCCTGTCTCCTCCTCACCTGTCCTCCTGTCCCCTCCTCACCTGTCCTCCTGTCTCCTCCTCAGGTGTGTTGTTCACCTGTCCTCCTGTCCCCTCCTCACCTGTCCTCCTGTCCCCTCAGGTGTGTTGTTCACCTGTCCTCCTGTCCCCTCCTCAGGTGTGTTGTTCACCTGTCCTCCTGTCCCCTCCTCACCTGTCCTCCTGTCCCCTCCTCAGGTGTGTTGTTCACCTGTCCTCCTGTCCCCTCCTCCTGTCTCCTCCTCACCTGTCCTCCTGTCCCTCCTCACCTGTCCTCCTGTCCCCTCCTCACCTGTCCTCCTGTCCCTTCCTCAGGTGTGTTGTTCACCTGTCCTCCTGTCCCCTCCTCAGGTGTGTTGTTCACCTGTCCTCCTGTCCCCTCCTCACCTGTCCTCCTGTCTCCTCCTCACCTGTCCTCCTGTCCCCTCCTCACCTGTCCTCCTGTCCCCTCCTCAGGTGTGTTTTCACCTGTCCTCCTGCCCCCTCCTCAGGTGTGTTGTTCACCTGTCCTCCTGTCTCCTCACCTGTCCTCCTGTCCCCTCCTCACCTGTCCTCCTGTCCCCTCCTCACCTGTCCTCCTGTCCCCTCCTCAGGTGTGTTGTTCACCTGTCCTCCTGTCCCCTCCTCACCTGTCCTCCTGTCCCCTCCTCACCTGTCCTCCTGTCCCCTCCTCACCTGTCCTCCTGTCTCCTCCTCACCTGTCCTCCTGTCCCCTCCTCACCTGTCCTCCTGTCTCCTCCTCAGGTGTGTTGTTCACCTGTCCTCCTGTCTCCTCCTCACCTATCCTCCTGTCCCCTCCTCCTGTCTCCTCCTCACCTGTCCTCCTGTCCCCTCCTCACCTGTCCTCCTGTCCCCTCCTCAGGTGTGTTGTTCACCTGTCCTCCTGTCTCCTCCTCACCTGTCCTCCTGTCCCCTCCTCACCTGTCCTCCTGTCCCCTCCTCAGGTGTGTTTTTCACCTGTCCTCCTGTCCCCTCCTCAGGTGTGTTGTTCACCTGTCCTCCTGTCTCCTCCTCACCTGTCCTCCTGTCTCCTCACCTGTCCTCCTGTCTCCACACCTGTCCTCCTGTCCCCTCCTCACCTGTCCTCCTGTCCCCTCCTCAGGTGTGTTGTTCACCTGTCCTCCTGTCCCCTCTTCACCTATCCTCCTGTCCCCTCCTCCTGTCCCCTCCTCACCTGTCCTCCTGTCCCTCCTCAGGTGTGTTGTTCACCTGTCCTCCTGTCCCCTCCTCAGGTGTGTTGTTCACCTGTCCTCCTGTCTCCTCACCTGTCCTCCTGTCCCCTCCTCACCTGTCCTCCTGTCCCCTCCTCACCTGTCCTCCTGTCCCCTCCTCAGGTGTGTTGTTCACCTGTCCTCCTGTCCCCTCCTCACCTGTCCTCCTGTCTCCTCCTCACCTGTCCTCCTGTCCCTCCTCACCTGTCCTCCTGTCTCCTCCTCACCTGTCCTCCTGTCCCCTCCTCACCTGTCCTCCTGTCTCCTCCTCAGGTGTGTTGTTCACCTGTCCTCCTGTCTCCTCCTCACCTATCCTCCTGTCCCCTCCTCCTGTCTCCTCCTCACCTGTCCTCCTGTCCCCTCCTCACCTGTCCTCCTGTCCCCTCCTCAGGTGTGTTGTTCACCTGTCCTCCTGTCTCCTCCTCACCTGTCCTCCTGTCCCCTCCTCACCTGTCCTCCTGTCCCCTCCTCAGGTGTGTTTTCACCTGTCCTCCTGTCCCCTCCTCAGGTGTGTTGTTCACCTGTCCTCCTGTCTCCTCACCTGTCCTCCTGTCTCCTCCTCACCTGTCCTCCTGTCTCCTCACCTGTCCTCCTGTCTCCACACCTGTCCTCCTGTCCCCTCCTCACCTGTCCTCCTGTCCCCTCCTCAGGTGTGTTGTTCACCTGTCCTCCTGTCCCCTCTTCACCTATCCTCCTGTCCCCTCCTCCTGTCCCCTCCTCACCTGTCCTCCTGTCCCCTCCTCAGGTGTGTTGTTCACCTGTCCTCCTGTCCCCTCCTCAGGTGTGTTGTTCACCTGTCCTCCTGTCTCCTCACCTGTCCTCCTGTCTCCACACCTGTCCTCCTGTCCCCTCCTCACCTGTCCTCCTGTTCCCTCCTCAGGTGTGTTGTTCACCTGTCCTCCTGTCCCCTCTTCACCTATCCTCCTGTCCCCTCCTCCTGTCTCCTCCTCACCTGTCCTCCTGTCTCCTCCTCACCTGTCCTCCTGTCCCCTCCTCACCTGTCCTCCTGTCCCCTCCTCAGGTGTGTTGTTCACCTGTCCTCCTGTCCCCTCCTCAGGTGTGTTGTTCACCTGTCCTCCTGTCCCCTCCTCACCTGTCCTCCTGTCCTCCTCACCTGTCCTCCTGTCCCCTCCTCACCTGTCCTCCTGTCCCCTCCTCAGGTGTGTTTTTCACCTGTCCTCCTGCCCCTCCTCAGGTGTGTTGTTCACCTGTCCTCCTGTCTCCTCACCTGTCCTCCTGTCCCCTCCTCACCTGTCCTCCTGTCCCCTCCTCACCTGTCCTCCTGTCCCCTCCTCAGGTGTGTTGTTCACCTGTCCTCCTGTCCCCTCCTCACCTGTCCTCCTGTCCCCTCCTCAGGTGTGTTGTTCACCTGTCCTCCTGTCCCCTCCTCACCTGTCCTCCTGTCTCCTCCTCAGGTGCGATCCTGGGCCGCTCAGACATTCAGAAGTGTGTCCACTACAACTACAACCCTTCGTCTTCCTCGTCTTCCTCGTTGGCGTCTGAGAGTCAGGGTAACATGAGCGGGGTGGTCACCTGCTCCGGAGACAAGGACAAGAGGCTCCACTGCTTCGCCACCTGGAAGAACGTGTCCGGAGCCGTCCAGGTGGTCAAACAGGGCTGCTGGCTGGACGACGTCAACTGTTACGACAGGTGAGTACTTCCTGTCAGACTCTGGCGGGTCCCACAGGTGAGTACTTCCTGTGTCTGACGACCTTCTTCCTCCTCCTCTGCAGGCGCGAGTGCGTGGAGAGGAAGGACGCTCCTGAAGTCTTCTTCTGCTGCTGTGAAGGATCTTTGTGTAACAGCAGGTTCTTCTACAGTCCTGACAGCAGACAGACGCAGATACCAAGTAAGACCTCCTGATTACTGATGGGGTCCAGAATGATCTGGACCTGGAGGAGCCGTGTTGTTCTTGACTTTATAAACTGAATTAAGAATAACAACATTTTGTCCCTTTGTGTTGCCGTAGCCACAAACAAACCGGTGACGGCCAAGCCCCCGGTGCTGACCACTCTGATGTACTCGCTGGTTCCCATCATGGCCGTCACCGCCATCGTCCTCTTCTCCTTCTGGATGTACCGGCACCACAAACTGGCCTACCCTCCTGTCCTGGTGCCCACACAGGTGAGAGACTCGCACTGATTAGAAAGACCGGGACCAGGAGCGGCACTGGGTTAAAGTCAGCATGTGAGCTGGAGCTCCTCAGGGATCCGTCCTCGGTCTCCTGCTGGTTGACCTTTACACGCTCGCACACGTCACACAAACGCTCACCAGCGTCATACTCAGAACACACCTGCACGTTCCAACGACCTCCGCTCTCTCTATTCAGGATCAGGTGAGCTGATGGTAACCGTGACGATGAATCTCTGATCCTTGATTGGCCACTTCCCTTCCAAACGAATCAGGTCCTGCCCCAGGTCGTCGTGGCGGGACCAGGTCTGGTATCTGGTTTCAGATGGATTTAATCCTCTGGTGTCGACTTTACGTCCTGACTTACTCTGAGCTGGTACAAAGCGCTGCTGTAAAGACGCGTACACAGGGTCGGGTACAGAACCCGGTACCAATACAGGGTGTCTGCGGGGTCTTAAAGGGTCTTAAAGGGTCTTAAAGGGTCTTAAATCATTAAAAAGTCTTGATCGCCATTTAACAGGGTATTAAATTTTGTAGATATTGTGCGAAGCGGAAAACTGATTTACTAGCACAACCGACTGTAACTTTCCACCACGCCGGATCCCCAATGCTAATTGTTGAAAACATGGTCGGACTGAGCTCTGTGGCCGCTTGAACACCCCCGTTATTCAAAGACGAGAGCGAGATGCGCCGTCAGCAGGTGAAGCGCTGAGACAGCAGACAACAGGGAGAATATAAGCAGCATATTGGTTTGGCTAACGTTGGCCGGCTGTTCAGCTACATCTGTGCCTTTTTATTGAAACACCTTCAACTTTTCAGAAATGCGCTCGTCATCGTCACTTTTCGTGAGCAGATTAATCGCAGCCTGGACGGAGCGAGTTTCCAAATGTTGGACTAATCGTTCTGCCTAAATAGTTTGATTATTGACGAGTTAGTCGCCCACTGAAAATTAAAGTTAGAGACTAACTGTAGAATATTTTCCTGTCACAAAGTTAATGAATAAAAAACAACCCAAAATGAAACAGCTGTAAGTGGAATTAATATTATAATAGTGGTAAGTTTTATATAGTAAACTATTATAGAATATAGATTATAATTCAAATGAATATAGTAACAGCATATAATTAACATTAATATAAAAGCCAGGATGCCTTTGTGCCAACATGTGCTGCTCTCTGACAGCGACACGTTCCCCTTGTTCTCTTTTACATCTGTCTTACTAAAGTTTACACAAATCAGCTTTAGGATGCAGACAGCAGCTGTTGATCGCAAATGTCTGTGCTGCACTGCCAACGTTGTTTTTACGTTGTATTGATACAATGTTCGATGAAAGTTATCACACAGAGTGTTTACTTTTACAGTCTCAGTCTATTTATAGTAAATGTAAGTTAAAGGTGGGCTGTGTGGTCTTTAGTGGCTTCTAGCAGGAAGGTTTCAGATTGCAACCAACAGCATACGCTTCACATACCTGTGACTGAAAATAAGTTACAGCGACGTCAGCTAGGTATCAACTGGTCGGCGTTTGCAGGCAGGCTAACGTTATCTAGTTTGAACCGACTAACACAAAATCGCACTGTTTCACATGTTTGGCAGTAATGTTGCGCACATAAACATCTCAGCCTGTGTGAGACGATGGATTTTCGCAGGACATCCGACGAGTCCTTCACAAAGAAAAAACAGGCGACTGAGAAAGTTGGTGAAGTTACAACCTGGTCACGTACAGGTAATAAAATGCTATAAATATATTTAAATTCCTTTTGAAAACTCCACAGTTCCCCTTTTAAAGGTGTGAGGCTGACTTACAGCTCAAAGTTGTGCGGCAGTCTTGAAAAGGTCTTGAAAGGTTTTGAATTTCACTTCTGGATTCCTGTATGTACCCCGCAGTAGAACCGGAACCTACCAAACTGAATAAGAACACAAAGTTTGGTCGAACTTTAGTGTGTCGACGGAACCGTTTTGGCTCTGGTGCTCTGAAACATCCGAGGCGTCGGTACCGTTCACCGCAGTCCCAGATGGAGCGTCCCTCAGTGAGAGGCGCCGAGCCGAGCCGGGTCTGCTCGGTCTGTGTTAATGCTGACGTGGGCCAGAGGAAGTGACCCGGCTCAGCAGCAGCGCATAGTCAGTAATGATGGAAATTAACAGCCGCTAAATGAGGGTGGACTTTCCGTTTGGCGGCCAAATGTTGGAAGGCTACGCGCCACGTCGGCGGGTACATATATTCAGCGTATGGGGGTGTAACGGTCCAGGGCTTTGGGAACCGTGCACATGTGCACCGATGCAGTCTTTAACGTTAAATACTAGGCTTGTTTTGAGTGGAACAAATGTAAAGTCTGGAAGTTTCCACACGGACCATATCTCCGCCTGACAGCGCTACACAAGCAGCAGCTTTAGCCCCGCCTCTCGCTAACTAGTGACTTGAGCATCACGGCCAGTGAAGAGAAGCCAGAGCTTTAAGACCCCCCCTCATTGTTCAGGTCTCCTGTTTGGGACACTTCGGTTTCCAGTGAAATACAACAGCGGGCCGACATTTCTCAGCAGTGATCGATGTTACTAATGTCACTAATACTCACTAACGGTGTCGCAGGAAGGAGAACGTCTCCAACAAAACGAGCACAATGCAAACGCCTTTCAGCTTCTAAACAGACTTCAGACTTTTTTTATCTGAGCAGGCCTTCAGGCTGGGACTGATGATGCTGCAGTCTTACCGGCGGACAAAGGAAGATGCACGGTAGTCCTTAACACAGCGGACTACCAGGACAAAGTCAACTCACTACTAATGGACACAAACACATATGAGACACTGAGACGAGACCCAACCAGCGGATACAAGAAGAAGGCCATAGAATGTCTACAACAGCTACAGAAGGACAACATCATCACCCGGGAACAATATTACCGTTTGTATCCTGGAGAAGCCATTCCATGCATTTATGTACTACCCAAGATACACAAAGAAGGAGCCCCACTCAGGCCGATTATCAGCAGCATTAACTCGGTCACCTACAACATTGCCAAACACATTTCCACCATCTTAGCTCCATTGGTGGGAAACACGCCTCACCACGTCCAAAACTCTATTGACTTTGTAAACAAAGTTCGAGGACTAAAACTGGATCCAGATGAAACCATGGTATCCTATGACGTGACTTCTTTGTTCACCTGCATCCCCACCATAGAGGCAGTAGAAACCGTCAGGAAACGGCTAACACAAGACAACACCCTGGACAACAGAACTAGACTCAGCCCCGACCAGATCTGTAAATTACTCGACCTCTGTCTAAACACCGGTGGATTCTACAGACAGAAGCATGGCTGTGCCACGGGCTCACCGATTGTGGCAAACATCTACATGGAAGAAGTGGAGAATAAAGCCCTCAACTCCTTCAGAGGAACAGCACCGAGCCACTGGTACAGATATGTGGACGACACCTGGGTCAAAATTAAAAGCCTTCACAGAAGTAACAGTAACATCAAGTTCACACCAGAAGATGTTCACAACAACAGTTTGGCCTTCCTGGACTGCGCTGTACACATTGAAGAGGACACAGAAAACCCACACACACAGACCAATACCTACTGTTCGATTCCCACCACCCACTGGAGCACAAGCTAGGGGTCATGAGAACACTGCACCACAGAGCGGAAAACATACCAACAAGCGCCCAAGCCAGAGAGAAGGAACAGAAGCACCTGAAGGGGGCACTTACAGCCTGTGGAGACCCTAAATGGACCTTTGTGAAAACAGCCACAAGATCCAAGAAGAACAAAACTACAGGGGAGGAAAAGAAGGTCAATTAGAGCCGTTCGTTGGTTGTTGCTTGTGCTTGTTTGATGTTGCTTGTGTTTGATTGGTGTAGCTGTGTAAGGGGCGGAGCGTGTAGCCACTTTCAGACGAAAACAATATCCACACGTCTCACTCGCTTCTTCAGACTGAACAACAGTTTGCAGCTCTATCCCGTATGAAAAAGACCTTTATCCTGCAACCATGTGTGCTTTCACACCGCGGCCCGGCTACACAGGAAGCTGCGGCGTGCTGCGGCGTGGCTTTTCACAAACACATCGTCCCGTCTTTCTGTAGTGATGAGGTTGAATGATTAATCAGCTTCTTGTAAGTTTATAAAATAATAGTTGTGTTTTAAGAACGTTTAACAGCAGTAACATCGTGTAGCTTCAGATTTGACTCCGGCCTCCTTGTTAAGTTGGTATTTGACATAATTCCTCATTATCTCGATGAACAGAAACAGGCCATTTATTACTTTGGCCGGTGGGTGTTTTTACCCAGCAGCCACCTGGGCAGCTGATTTCCAGCCCTGCTGAGGATAGAAAGTGTTTGAGTGTGTGGATGAAGGAAACTGTTTCTTCTTCTTCTTCCTGTCTGACTGAATGTTTCTCCTCTCAGCACGCCTTTCACATAATGATCGAGGTAAGAGGTCGGACTGCTGCTGCTCGTCCACTTTGCATCTTCATCCTCCTTTTCTTTCTCTTTCTTTGTGTTTCTGCTCTGTGTTGCTCGCTGAGGTTGTTTTACATTCACTCGTGCATGAGCTCACTGCATTTAATGCGATGTGTTTCCATCAGGTGTTGGCTGTTGTTACTTTAGTGTTTCTGGATCTAAACGTTCATTTTATTTCTGTTTTTAATGTGAACTTGGTGAAATGTTTCAACTCTGTGATCTTTCTGTAGTGCTGAAGAGTTCACACCTGATCACTGTACAGAGGAGGGATTCACCCTCAGTGCTCCATGAAACAGCCGCAGACTCTCTACAGTCTCTCACATGTGTCCATGTGGTCTCTTCCAGGACCCCGGGCCCCTGCCCCCCTCCCCCATCCTGGGCCAGAAGCCCCTGCAGCTGCTGGAGATCAAAGCCAGGGGGCGCTTCGGCTGCGTGTGGAAGGCCCAGCTGCTCAGTGAATACGTCGCCGTCAAGATCTTCCCCATCCAGGTCTGTCGGAGCCGCCCTGAACGCACCGCCGCTCGTCCAGCGTTACAGTTAAAGACACCCTGAACTCACCGCCGCTCGTCCAGCGTTACAGTTAAAGACACCCTGAACGCACCGCCGCATGTCCAGCGTTAAAGACACCCTGAACGCACCGCCGCATGTCCAGCATTAGAGTTAAAGACACCCTGAACGCACCGCCGCTCGTCCAGCGTTAAAGACACCCTGAACGCACCGCCGCTCGTCCAGCATTAGAGTTAAAGACACCCTGAACGCACCGCCGCTCGTCCAGCGTTAGAGTTAAAGACACCCTGAACGCACCGCCGCTCGTCCAGCGTTAAAGACACCCTGAACGCACCGCCGCTCATCCAGCATTAGAGTTAAAGACACCCTGAACGCACCGCCGCTCGTCCAGCGTTAAAGACACCCTGAACGCACCGCCGCTCGTCCAGCATTAGAGTTAAAGACACCCTGAACGCACCGCCGCATGTCCAGCGTTAAAGACACCCTGAACGCACCGCCGCTCGTCCAGCGTTAGAGTTAAAGACACCCTGAACGCACCGCCGCTCGTCCAGAGTTAAAGACACCCTGAACGCACCGCCGCTCGTCCAGCGTTAAAGACACCCTGAACGCACCGCCGCTCGTCCAGCGTTAGAGTTAAAGACACCCTGAACGCACCGCCGCTCGTCCAGCGTTAAAGACACCCTGAACGCACCGCCGCTCGTCCAGCGTTAAAGACACCCTGAACGCACCGCCGCTCGTCCAGCGTTAGAGTTAAAGACACCCTGAACGCACCGCCGCTTGTCCAGCGTTAGAGTTAAAGACACCCTGAACGCACCGCCGCTCGTCCAGAGTTAAAGACACCCTGAACGCACCGCCGCTCGTCCAGCGTTAGAGTTAAAGACACCCTGAACGCACCGCCGCTCGTCCAGCGTTAAAGACACCCTGAACGCACCGCCGCTCGTCCAGCATTAGAGTTAAAGACACCCTGAACGCACCGCCGCTCGTCCAGCGTTAAAGACACCCTGAACGCACCGCCGCTCGTCCAGCGTTAGAGTTAAAGACACCCTGAACGCACCGCCGCTCGTCCAGCATTAGAGTTAAAGACACCCTGAACGCACCGCCGCTCGTCCAGAGTTAAAGACACCCTGAACGCACCGCCGCTCGTCCAGCGTTAGAGTTAGACACCCTGAACGCACCGCCGCTCGTCCAGCATTAGAGTTAAAGACACCCTGAACGCACCGCCGCTCGTCCAGCGTTAAAGACACCCTGAACGCACCGCCGCTCGTCCAGCATTAGAGTTAAAGACACCCTGAACGCACCGCCGCTCGTCCAGCGTTAAAGACACCCTGAACGCACCGCCGCTCGTCCAGCGTTAAAGACACCCTGAACGCACCGCCGCTCGTCCAGCGTTAGAGTTAAAGACACCCTGAACGCACCGCCGCTCGTCCAGCGTTAAAGACACCCTGAACGCACCGCCGCTCGTCCAGCGTTAGAGTTAAAGACACCCTGAATGCACCGCCGCTCGTCCAGCGTTAAAGACACCCTGAACGCACCGCCGCTCGTCCAGTGTTACAGTTAAAGACACCCTGAATGCACCGCCGCTCGTCCAGCGTTACAGTTGTGGTGATTTCTCTGGTTGCAGCTGGGAGGTTTCAGTTTTAAAGCTCAGAGCTTTAATCCTCCTGAGGCTGACCGGGTCCTTGGCCAATCAGCATCCAGTAAACCCATCATGACCTCAATTAACCCCCCCCCCCCACACACACACACACACGTCAGCCTTCAGTCATCACGCTGTGAAACATTTCCATCTGAAGTCATTCAGTGAAAATCAGCTGGACCCGACTCTGTGCTCAGATGGGTTGTAGGTCACACAGGCCTGACCCCTGACCCCTGACCTCTGACCCCTCTCTGTATTCAGGACAAGCAGTCGTGGCAGAACGAGTACGAGATCTTCACCCTGAGCGGGATGAGACACGAGAACCTGCTGCAGTTCATCGGAGCCGAGAAGAGAGGCAGCAACCTGGACATGGAGCTGTGGCTCATCACCGCCTACCATGAGAAGGTGCTGCCCCCTGCTGGAGCCCTGCAGCCCTGCAGAGTCCACATTAGTCTGTTAGCTGAGGCTTTTATCCAAAACCTCTTCCAGCTGCTGAATATGTCAGAGGTCTCCCTGCTCTGGAGCAGCTGGGAGTCACACTGGGGGATGTTTAATCCACTGCACCACCACCGCCCCTATTACATAAAATCTAATGAAACTAGACCTGCAGGCAGGGACTAACGGGGTCCAGGCCTCCCCTGGCGGCCTGAGGAGGCACTGCAAGGCGGACCTGCGGTCCCACCTGTAAGCCTGTAGAGACGAAACCAGTGACTCAAGAGGAGTTTAGTTCATGTTATAGTTCTGATCGTGTCAGACTTCACATCACAGGCAGAGCTGTGTGGAGATGATGTCACTTCCTTTGTATGAGGGTTGTTTTCTTCTTCTAAGGTTAATTTTCCTCGTGCAGATTTGTTGAAAACAGATTATATCAGAATAGTTCTGGATGTTCTGCCTCAGATTAATGATCTTCTGTTTGGCATCAAGTGTTTGTTCTGAGCACAAAGAAAAGTTTACACCACATTAACTTTCTCTCAGCAGAACTCAGCCTTTAAACTGAAAGATTAGTGATCTGATTTATCCTGATAATTATTGATATCAGATGATGTTCTGTGTTCTGATGTTCTGTGTTCTGTCCTCAGGGTTCTCTGACAGACTACCTGAAGGCAAACGTCCTCTCCTGGTCTGAACTGTGTCTCATCGCTCAGTCGATGTCTCGAGGTCTCGCCTACCTGCACGAGGACATACCTGGACACAAGGACGGACACAAGCCTGCCATCGCACACAGGTACACACACACACACACACACACACACACACAGATAGATACGTCCATACAGGTAAACACAGCTACACACACAGGTACTCACACACACACAGGTACACACACACTGTGAGGGGAGGAGTCTCACTCTGTGTGTGTTTCAGGGACTTGAAGAGTAAGAACGTGCTGCTGAAGTCCAACCTGACCGCCTGCATCGCTGACTTCGGCCTCGCTCTCAGGTTTGAGGCGGGAAAATCTCCTGGAGACACGCACGGACAGGTGAGTCCACCTGAGACACCTGACCTTTAACCTTGAATCCTTTTACAGTGATGGTGGAGGACATCAGTGTCTGTCAGTCCATCACACATCAGTCCGGTGGAGGCAGATGGCCGCCCACCCTGAGTCATGGTTCTGCTCGAGGTTTCTGCCTCTTAAAGGAAGTTTTTCCTTGCCTCTGTCTCCTAGTGCTGCTCTTGGTGGGAACTGTTGGGCTTCTGTAAATATCATCACAGAGTACGGTCTAGACCTGCTCTTTATGAAAAGCGCTGTGAGATAACTGTTGTTGTGATTTGGTGCTATATAAATAAAACTGAATTGAATTGAAAGTTAGCAGCTCTGAGGCATCTTTAAATCTCATGAAGAAGAAGAACTGATTGATCTGAACTCCTCCTCACACACCTGCTCGTCTGTAGTTCAGTCTGATCGATCTGTTTTAGAAGCAGCAGAGGACGAATTTGACAGGTGGAGGGTCTCAGTTCTTTCCACTTGTACCTTTTATTCTGTTTAATTATATAAAAATTATGTATAAAATTTATTTTACCGGACCACATGGCAGACAGGTTGGGAACTAGGATCTGGTCTGTGTTTGATGGTCCAGACCTTTAAAGTGTCCCTGTTAATGTGTCAGGTGGGGACCAGGAGGTACATGGCCCCGGAGGTACTAGAGGGGGCCATTAACTTCCAGAGAGACGCCTTCCTGAGGATAGACATGTACGCTCTGGGTCTGGTGCTATGGGAGCTCGCCTCACGCTGCAAAGCTGCTGACGGTAAGAAACCCTCAGACAGACGGACTTCAGACCTGTTCCAGGAAGACCAGCTGGAAACTGAATCTGATGAAGAATAGTATTATATGTGGCGTGGGCCAGCAGTTTGCTCAGAGCACCACATGGTGGTGGGGGAGAGTCCTGCACCGGACTGAGTTTAAACCTCCTGCTCCCCCACAGCAAAGTTTTAACACATTTCTGAAAAACATTTTGTGTTCTTCTTCTGTGCTCATGTGAACCTGATGGTTTACATGAGCGAGTTGTTGAAGAAGCCAGTGAGACGCAATCTTAATTTAGTAACTTAAGATCTGGGTCTAGTGGTCTCTGTGTGTCTGTTCTGGACTCTGATGGTCCCCCTTCTCTCTGATCTAGGTCCTGTGGACGAGTACATGGTGCCGTTTGAGGAGGAGGTGGGCCAGCATCCGTCTCTGGAGGACATGCAGGAGGTGGTGGTCCACAAGAAGATGAGACCGACGCTCAGAGAGTGCTGGCAGAAACACGCTGTGAGTCAGACTGCGTTACCCATAATGCACCACTCGTCTCTTACCCACAATGCATGTGAAAATTTTAACTGACAATTTTGACTGATATGAGTGACGGTGTTGTGGATGTTTGAGTGACTGTGTTGTGGATGTTTGAGTGACGGACGGTGTTGTGGATGTTTGAGTGACGGTGTTGTTGATATTGTAGTGTTGTGGATGTATGAGTGACGGTGTTGTTGATGTTTTAGTGACGGTGTTGTTGATGTTTCATTGACATTGTAGTGTTGTTGATGTAGTGTTGTTGATGTATGAGTGACTGTGTTGTTGATGTATGAGTGACGGTGTTGTTGATGTATGAGTGACGGTGTTGTTGATGTATGAGTGACGGTGTTGTTGATGTATGAGTGACGGTGTTGATATTGTAGTGTTGTGGATGTATGAGTGACGGTGTTGTTGATGTATGAGTGACGTTGTTTGAGTGACGTTGTTGATATTGTAGTGTTGTGGATGTATGAGTGATGGTGTTGTTGATTTATGAGTGACGGTGTTGTGTTGTTGATATTGTGGTGTTGTGGATGTATGAGTGACGGTGTTGTGGATGTATGAGTGACGGTGTTGATATTGTAGTGTTGTGGATGTATGAGTGACGGTGTTGTGGATGTATGAGTGACGGTGTTGTGGATGTATGAGTGACGGTGTTGTGGATGTTTGAGTGTTGTGGATGTATGAGTGACGGTGTTGATATTGTGGTGTTGTGGATGTATGAGTGACGGTGTTGTGGATGTATGAGTGACGGTGTTGATATTGTAGTGTTGTGGATGTATGAGTGACGGTGTTGTGGATGTATGAGTGACGGTGTTGTGGATGTTTGAGTGACGGTGTTGTGGATGTTTGAGTGACGGTGTTGTGGATGTTTGAGTGACGGTGTTGTTGATATTTTAGTGTTGTGGATGTTTTAGTGACAGTCTTTAGATCTTGTACTGACGGTGTTATGAATGTCCAGTGGGACGGTGTTGTTGATGTATGAGTGACGGTGTTGTTGATGTATGAGTGACGGTGTTGATATTGTAGTGTTGTGGATGTTTTAGTGTTGTAGATGTTTGAGTGACGGTGTTGTGGATGTATGAGTGACGGTGTTGTGGATGTATGAGTGACGGTGTTGTGGATGTATGAGTGACGGTGTTGTGGATGTATGAGTGACGGTGTTGTTGATGTTTGAGTGACGGTGTTGTGGATGTTTGAGTGACGGTGTTGTGGATGTTTGAGTGACGGTGTTGTGGATGTTTGAGTGACGGTGTTGATATTGTAGTGTTGTGGATGTATGAGTGACGGTGTTGTTGATGTATGAGTGACGGTGTTGTTGATGTATGAGTGACGGTGTTGTTATTGTAGTGTTGTGGATGTTTTAGTGTTGTAGATGTTTGAGTGACGGTGTTGTGGATGTATGAGTGACGGTGTTGTGGATGTATGAGTGACGGTGTTGTGGATGTATGAGTGACGGTGTTGTGGATGTATGAGTGACGGTGTTGTGGATGTATGAGTGACGGTGTTGTGGATGTATGAGTGACGGTGTTGTGGATGTATGAGTGACGGTGTTGTTGATATGTGGTGTTGTGGATGTTTGAGTGACGGTGTTGTGGATGTTTGAGTGACGGTGTTGTGGATGTATGAGTGACGGTGTTGTGGATGTTTGAGTGACGTTGTTGATATTGTAGTGTTGTGGATGTTTGAGTGATGGTGTTGATATTGTAGTGTTGTGGATGTATGAGTGACGGTGTTGTGGATGTATGAGTGATGGTGTTGTTGATGTATGAGTGACGGTGTTGATATTGTAGTGTTGTGGATGTTTTAGTGTTGTGGATGTATGAGTGACGGTGTTGTGGATGTATGAGTGACGGTGTTGTGGATGTATGAGTGACGGTGTTGTGGATGTATGAGTGACGGTGTTGTTGATATTGTAGTGTTGTGGATGTTGGAATGACGGTGTTGTTGATATTGTGGTGTTGTGGATGTTTGAGTGACGGTGTTGTGGATGTATGAGTGACGGTGTTGTATGAGTGACGGTGTTGTGGATGTATGAGTGACGGTGTTGTGGATGTATGAGTGACGGTGTTGTGGATGTATGAGTGACGGTGTTGTGGATATTGTAGTGTTGTGGATGTATGAGTGACGGTGTTGTGGATGTATGAGTGACGGTGTTGTGGATGTTTGAGTGACGGTGTTGTTGATATTGTGGTGTTGTGGATGTATGAGTGACGGTGTTGTGGATGTATGAGTGACGGTGTTGTGGATGTATGAGTGACGGTGTTGTTGATATTGTAGTGTTGTGGATGTTTGAATGACGGTGTTGTTGATATTGTGGTGTTGTGGATGTATGAGTGACGGTGTTGATATTGTAGTGTTGTGGATGTTTGAGTGACGGTGTTGTGGATGTATGAGTGACGGTGTTGTTGATATTGTAGTGTTGTGGATGTTTGAATGACGGTGTTGTTGATATTGTAGTGTTGTGGATGTATGAGTGACGGTGTTGTTGATATTGTAGTGTTGTGGATGTTTTAGTGTTGTGGATGTTTGAGTGACGGTGTTGTTGATATTGTGGTGTTGTGGATGTATGAGTGACGGTGTTGTGGATGTATGAGTGTTGTGGATGTTTGAGTGACGGTGTTGTGGATGTATGAGTGACGGTGTTGTGGATGTATGAGTGACGGTGTTGTGGATGTATGAGTGACGGTGTTGTTGATATTGTGGTGTTGTGGATGTATGAGTGACGGTGTTGTGGATGTATGAGTGACGGTGTTGTGGATGTATGAGTGACGGTGTTGTGGATGTATGAGTGACGGTGTTGTGGATGTATGAGTGACGGTGTTGTTGATATTGTAGTGTTGTGGATGTATGAGTGACGGTGTTGTGGATGTATGAGTGACGGTGTTGTTGATATTGTAGTGTTGTGGATGTGTTAGTGTTGTGGATGTTTGAGTGACGGTGTTGTTGATATTGTGGTGTTGTGGATGTATGAGTGACGGTGTTGTGGATGTATGAGTGTTGTGGATGTTTGAGTGACGGTGTTGTGGATGTATGAGTGACGGTGTTGTGGATGTATGAGTGACGGTGTTGTGGATGTATGAGTGACGGTGTTGTTGATGTTTGAGTGACGGTGTTGATGATGTATGAGTGACGGTGTTGATATTGTAGTGCTGTGGATGTTTGAGTGACGGTGTTGATGATGTTTGAGTGACGGTGTTGATGATGTTTGAGTGACGGTGTTGATATTGTAGTGCTGTGGATGTATGAGTGACGGTGTTGTTGATGTATGAGTGACGGTGTTGTGGATGTATGAGTGACGGTGTTGATATTGTAGTGCTGTGGATGTTTGAGTTACGGTGTTGTTGATGTATGAGTGACAGTGTTGTGGATGTTTTAGTGTTGTGGATGTTGATGATGTTTGAGTGACGGTGTTGTGTTGTTGATATTGTAGTGCTGTGGATGTTTGAGTGACGGTGTTGTGGATGTTTGAGTGACGGTGTTGATATTGTAGAGTTGTGGATGTTTTAGTGTTGTTGATGTTTGAGTGACGGTGTTGATATTGTAGTGCTGTGGATGTTTGAGTGACGGTGTTGTTGATGTTTTAGTGACGTTGATATTGTAGAGTTGTGGATGTTTTAGTGTTGTTGATGTTTGAGTGACGTTGTTGATATTGTAGTGCTGTGGATGTTTGCGTTACGGTGTTGTTGATGTTTGAGTGACGTTGATATTGTAGTGTTGTGGATGTTTTAGTGTTGTTGATGTATGAGTGACAGTGTTGTGGATGTTTGAGTGACGTTGATATTGTAGTGTTGTGGATGTTTTAGTGTTGTTGATGTATGAGTGACGGTGTTGTGGATGTATGAGTGACGGTGTTGTGGATGTATGAGTGACGGTGTTGTGGATGTATGAGTGACGGTGTTGTAGATATTGTGGTGTTGTGGATGTATGAGTGACGGTGTTGATATTGTAGTGTTGTGGATGTATGAGTGACGGTGTTGTGGATGTATGAGTGACGGTGTTGTTGATATTGTAGTGTTGTGGATGTTTGAATGACGGTGTTGTTGATATTGTGGTGTTGTGGATGTATGAGTGACGGTGTTGTGGATGTATGTGTGACGGTGTTGATATTGTAGTGTTGTGGATGTATGAGTGACGGTGTTGTTGATATTGTAGTGTTGTGGCTGTGTTAGTGTTGTGGATGTTTGAGTGACCTTGTTGTTGATATTGTGGTGTTTTGGATGTATGAGTGACGGTGTTGTTGATATTGTGGTGTTGTGGATGTATGAGTGACGGTGTTGTGGATGTATGAGTGACGGTGTTGATATTGTGGTGTTGTGGATGTATGAGTGACGGTGTTGATATTGTAGTGTTGTGGCTGTGTTAGTGTTGTTGATGTATGAGTGACAGTGTTGTGGATGTTTGAGTGATGGTGTTGATGATGTTTGAGTTACGGTGTTGTTGATGTATGAGTGACGTTGATATTGTAGTGTTGTGGATGTTTTAGTGTTGTGGATGTATGAGTGACGGTGTTGTGGATGTATGAGTGACGGTGTTGTTGATATTGTGGTGTTGTGGATGTTTGAGTGACGGTGTTGTGGATGTTTGAGTGACAGTGTTGTGGATGTATGAGTGACGGTGTTGTGGATGTATGAGTGACGGTGTTGTGGATGTATGAGTGACGGTGTTGTGGATGTATGAGTGACGGTGTTGTGGATGTATGAGTGACGGTGTTGTTGATATTGTAGTGTTGTGGATGTTTGAATGACGGTGTTGTTGATATTGTGGTGTTGTGGATGTATGAGTGACGGTGTTGTGGATGTATGAGTGACGGTGTTGTTGATATTGTAGTGTTGTGGATGTTTGAATGACGGTGTTGTTGATATTGTGGTGTTGTGGATGTATGAGTGACGGTGTTGTGGATGTATGAGTGACGGTGTTGATATTGTAGTGTTGTGGATGTATGAGTGACGGTGTTGTGGATGTATGAGTGACGGTGT